CATGTTCCAGTTGAAGTTATTTACTTCTCTGGAGAATTGGGGGGGGGGGGGCCCTAAAGAAGAATATTAGAAGAGTTGAGAGTTGGTCTGGGATAGGTTACAATCTCTAATCTCTATTTTTTTTCCCATTCTACCAGTAGCTCTTGGCCTCAGCTATGGCCAGGCTGCATTTCCAGTCTTGTTTTTTTTTTTTTTTTTTTTTTTTGGTTTTTTTCGAGACAGGGTTTCTCTGTGTAGCTTTGCGCCTTTCCTGGAACTCGCTTTGGAGACCAGGCTGGCCTCGAACTCACAGAGATCCGCCTGGCTCTACCTCCCGAGTGCTGGGATTAAAGGCGTGCGCCACCACCGCCCGGCTTCCAGTCTTGTTTTTATAAAGCATGTTATGGAGGGGGTAAGTACTGGAGAGTGAACATGCTGAGTGGACACTCTACTACAGACCTGCAGCCCAGTCCATTTCCAGATACCTTTGCTCTAGGACCATAACAATCCCTGACACAGAGTCCTGCAGTTTTCCACCCCAGAAGCTACTTGTACAAGGCCTGCTTATTGAAAACAAACTCTACTTCCTATCTTCCACAGAGATATGCCTGACCTTTGGGCTCCTGCATGATTCCTTCTGAGTCCCTCCCTCCAACCTGTTTCCTAGCCCAGAGCAGTTAGGGCTAAGCTGAAAAGTATCTGACCCATCCCACCAGTACACACACCTCCATCCACCTTAGGGGTGTCCAGAATACTGTGTGAACAGCCTGTTCACAACATGCTTTCAACTTGATCTATCCTATAATGTACATGCTTGCATCCCTAGGACTGGACTTGAACACTGTGAGGATAAAGGATCATCTCATCCCCTTTGTCTCTCCCTGCAGTGCCTAGCATGGACAATGACACATGGGGAACATCTACTGAGGTGAGAAAAATATGAGAGCCCACACAGTGGTCTCCCTTTAAAGCTGATCTGTTTGGGAAAGGAGAGAAAGGAGGTAAGAGGATTCTTCCCCAGCCTGCTCTACCCTTCCATCTCAGAAGCATCACCACCCCAACCAAGCACAGCTTTTCTCTCTCTCTCTCTCTCTCTCTCTCTCTCTCTCTCTCTCTCTCTCTCTCTCTCTGTGTGTGTGTGTGTGTGTGTGTGTGTGTGTGTGTGTATGTGTGTGTGTAAGAACTTCCAAGCCTCCATCACTTCTCTAAATCTAATCTAAACACCATCACAGGGCAAAAGCAATGCCAATAGATAATAAACTCATGGTCATGGAGGGGCACATGGATCCTCCCAAACCAGGTTCACGCTTACTAAAGCATGTTCCTGCGAGCACCTACATTGTGCCAGGCATAGGGATGAAAGAAATAAAAGAGCCCTTCTCCTGGCCCTCCTGGAGAACTAACCTGGGCTGCATAAGGGAAGCATACAGAGATCTAGACTCTGTAAAAGTCGCAGCAGGACTCCTCGGGTCTCTCAAATCAATCTCTTGAAGTAAAGCAGAGGAACTTGAATTCTTCTGAACCTCCATGGTTAATTCTGATTCACAGCAGGGTTGCAGGCCACTGATCTCTGCATCGGAGCTACCCAAGAGGACTTCTGCAGTAACGGAGAGGTTCTTTATCTGTGACATTCTGTTAGTGCCAACAGCCATGTGTGTATGAGCACCTGAAATACGGCTAGTGAACTGAAGGAAATTTTACTTAATTCTTATTCACTTAAAATGGCTTCACATGCGGCAGGGGATGCAGCTCATTTGGTAAATTGCCTGCCTAGCATGCACAAACCCTAGGTTCGATTCCCAGGACTATGTAAAACCAGGTGTGGAAGTGCATGCCTGCTATCCCAGCATTCAAAAGGTGGACTCTCATCTACATAGCAAGTTCAAGCCAAGCCTGGGCCACCTGAGATTTATTTGTCAATCAATCCATCAATAGGCTGTACATGGCTACTGATTGTTGTATCAGACCACGAAATTCTAGATGACCCTAGATTCTATGTTTTATTTTTATAGATTCATTTATTTTATGCATTTGAATGTTTGTATGTTTGTGTATATATGTCTGGTGCACACAGGTTAGAAGAGAACTTTGAATTCCCTGGAACTGGAGTTATAGGCAGTTGTGGGCTGCCTTGTGGGTACTGGAATTGAAATCAGGTCTTCTACAACAACAAATGCTCTTAGCCACTGAGCCATGTCTCCAGCTTCCCATTTTATTTATTTTAAAAAATGCAAGGCCAGGCATGGTGGCACACACTTTTGATCCCAGCGCTAAGGAGGCAGAGGCAGGTGGATCTCTGAGTTCGGGCCAACCTGGTCTACAGAGTGAGTTCCAGGACAGCCAGGACTACACAGAGAAACCCAGTCTCAAAACAAAAATTTATTATTGTATGTGTGTGACAGATGTGTATATATTGAGTGTGCATACATCAGCAGACAACTTTGAGAAATTGATTCTCTCCTTACACTTTTACATGAGTTCTGGGGATCTAATCCAGATTGCTAGGCTTGTGTGGCAAGCGCCTTTACCCAATGAGCCATCTGGACAACCCCAAGCTTGATTTTAGACTTCACTCTCACAATAACAGGTTTTATGTGTGTTTGTGCATGTGTGGTTGTGAATATGCCTATATGTACGTGCATACCTATAATGGCCAGAGGTTCACATCAAGTGTCTTCCTCAGCTGCCCTCCCCACTTTTGCATGAGCATGTGTGTGTGTGTGTGGTGTTCGGTGTGAGTGTTCATGTAGATATGTGAATGTATACATGCAAGTACATGTGTGTGCATGCCTGTGTAGACCACAGGTATCTACCTCTATCACTGTCCTAATTTTCGAGACAGTATCTCTCAGTGAAAACAGAGCTTGCTATCCAGCTGGACTGACTGGCCAGCAAACCCCAGCAATCTTGTCTCAACACTGGGATTAAGGGCACAGCAATTAGCCTCCTTCCCCTAAGGATACTCTTATCTGCACTGACATAACCTCTTCTGATTTAATTGATAAAAGCCAGTCCGGTGGAACTAAGTCTGGACAGCTAGATAAGCACCCACACCGGATTCCAAGCATGGGGGTGGGGGCTCTCCTGAGTGCACTATCTTATTTGAAGTTAACCTTGGTGAGAGATAAAATGACTTTGCTGCTCTGAACTGAATTATGCCCCACAAAATTCATATGCTAAAGCCCTAATATTTGGAGATAAATTCTTTAAATAAATGAAGAAGCATTAGAGAAAGGTTAAATGAAATCCTGAGGGTAAAGCAATAATCCAATGATTGCTATCCTTCTAGGAAGGAAGAGGGAGACCGTGGAGTTGCACATGGCAGAAAAGCTACGTAAGGATGCAGAAGCCAGCTGCTGCACCGAAGAAAGGCTTCCGTGGAGCCTGAGCTGCTAACACCGTCGTCTTGTACCTCCGGTGGCCAGAATCACAAGAAAATAAACTCCATTGTTTAAGCCATCCAGACTGTGATGTTTTTGTCATGGCAGCTCCAGCAAGCTCGGGACCCTAACCCTAACCCTGAAGTCACATTGGGGGAATCAAGGGCAATAGTCCCACTACAGCAGAGCATGTAGTGACTGTGCCATAGGAAGGCCTTTGAGGTACCATACCGGTCTCTACCAGCCAAGTATGCCAGGCCAGGCTTTCCCCTAGACCTGCATATTCTCACTCCATGTTAACCCCTTCATTTCCCACACCTCCCTACTGCAGCATCGCCCTCACTTCCTTTGCTGAAGTTTGTGTCTTCAATGTTCCCCAGAAACCATGCCTTTTAGACTTGGCCACCAGCCTATTGTCCTACAGGGAGGTGGCGGAGCCTTTAAGAGGTAGAGCCTAGTGAGAGGAAGTGAGTTCACTGGGTATGTCCTTAGAGAGGATACTAGGACTCCAGCCCTTACCTCTTGGTTTACCAGCTGCCATGAGGCAAGCAGGATTCTTCTGCCACACACCTAACATTGATGGACTGTGTGGCTGACGGCAGGAGCTACACAGCCAAGTGTCCATGGGTTGGAAATGCTCAAATGTGAGCAAAATAAATTTTCCAGTCTAGGGTGTAGCTCTATGATAATGTTTGCCTGACTGGGCTCCTTCATCTGTGGGCTTCTACTGGGTGCTTCTGCACATGTATTCCATGCATCTGACTCTCTTCACTGTGGACTCTAAATTCTCAAAGATCAGCCTAGTGGTCAAGACCCTTCATGAGCTGGCTCTAACTCATTTTTCACTTTTTATTCCACCTGGCCAAGCCTTCACTAATCCCTTGAAAGTTCTAATTTTCCCAGTCTTCAAGATCCACCACCAGAGCTTCTCCTCGTCACCTCAGCTAAACATGCAAGCATGCAGCAGCCCCGCCTCTGCAGCTTTCACAATGCTGCCACATGATCCATCTTTAGCAGTAGCTGCGGAGCGGCCAGGAGCCCACAGCATGTGATGCTGTGATGCTGTGAGGTGGTCCTGACAATGATCTGGAGTCTGCACAGACTCTACCAGCCCAGGGAGGTTCCCCAACATGACTGCTGTCACCTCATGTAGCCGAAAGTTTTCTCCAGTCCTGTAGTCCTGTGTTCATCTGGTTCCACCGGGCCCCATGGTCCCTCAGCTACTTATAAAATAATTACTCAGAGGCTTATATTAATTACAAACTGTATGGCCAATGGCTTGAGTTTCTTGCTAGCTAGCTGTATCATCTTAAATTAACCCATTTCTATTCATCTATGTTTTGCCACATGGCTGTGGCGTTACCAGTCTGCTGGCATGTTGTTCCTTGGGCAGTGGGCTGGCGTCTCCCCAACTCTGCCTTTCTTCTTCCTGTCTCTCTCTTGGATTTCCTGCCTGGCTATGACCTGACTCACCACAGGCCACAGCACCTTCTTTACTAACCAATCATAGCAACACATATTCACAGCATACAGAAAGACATCGCTCAACAACTTCAGATACCAGTTGCACTTTTTCCCAACTAGCTATAAATTCAAGCATTCCCAGAAACCCTTCAGCTTCAGTAATTTGCAAAATGAAACTCAGGAAATAAAAACACTGTATTTATTTATAACAATTTATCACAAATACAAATCAAGGGCTAGGGATTTAGCTCAGTGACAGAGCAGTGCACACTTCACATCCACAAAACCTGGGTTCAACTCTAAAATGACACATAGAGAATATGAATGAACGAATATACAAACCAGCACCAACTACCCAAAAAGAAACAAACATATATGTGTTCACCAACCAGCAAGCTTGGTAGAAACTAGTGTTCAGAGTTCTGGTCAGGGTCACTGTGTATACAGTGTATAATTGGTTGAGATCATGGGCCACTTGGCTGAACTCAATCTCTAGCCTTGTCCCATCCTGGCGCTTAGGCTGAGATCACCCTTCAAAGTTCCGATCCTCAAAGCATAGAGCTGGTCTTTCTAGTGGGCTGGACTCCATCTGAGTCAAAGCTCGATAAATCCTGCTGTGCTCTGTGGCTCCAATGTAAATAATAATGACGCTTCTATCACGGAGGAAACCTCAAAGATTCAGTTTCCCTCTCAGGAACTGAGGATGGTTGATTAAAATCTTACTAATTTTTAGAATGCCGGAGATGACTTGTGTCCCAGGAGATAGGAAGACCACATGGTCCTCATTAAGGTGGTCCTAAGACCTGTTCCCATTGTGGTTCACTCTCTAGCCCTAACCACTAATTACCTAATTCAAGAGACGGAGGAGACACCATCCTCCCTGTCAACCTCAACAGTGCCCCAAGTACCTGATAAACTGCAGGACAGGCCCCCTACCAAAAACCCCACAGCTTGGCTAGGGCAAGTAAAGGTCTCATACACCCCTCCCCAAGCTACCTGAGAGAAGTTTTTGCAAACAATGAATAGGTAAGAGATGGGAGGAAATATCCTAAAAGCAACGGTCTCCCACCAATGAAGTGCAGAACGGGAAGAGAGAACCAACACAGAAGGCTTAGGAGTCTTTAATGCTTAGTCCGAAAGATCACAGGCTGAAGTTTTCATAACATTGGTCCTTCCCTAGTAAGGAAAAGTCTTCAGAGGGGCCTGGGAAGTACCTCGTAGTGCACAGATACCCCCCCATCTCAGAGTGAGGAAAGCAGGAAGTGTATGTAGTGAGCACCACGTGCCAGCCCTTTGCAAAGCACTCTGCAGTGTTCCCTCAGTCCTCACACCTCACATCAGTGCCAGGAGGCAGAACCCCCATCTTACAAAGAGTCTTGAGGCTTAGAGAAGTTGTTCATAAGCAAGTCAGGCAGGGTGGCCCATGCCTCTGACCCTCGCATTTAGGCAGGAAGATCACCACAAGTTTGAAGCCAGTCTGGTCTATCGAGAGAGTGCCAGGCCAGCAACTACCACTCTGTGAGATTTTGTTTCAAAATCCAGAAAGAAACAAGATATGGTGGTACATCCTTTTAATCCCAACACTCAGGAGGCAGAGGCAGGAAGATTTCTTGTTGAGGTCAGGGCTGGATCTTATCTACATAATGAGTTACAGGCCAACACAATGAGACCTTGCTTCAAGTTTTAAAAACAAACAATAACAAAAACAAAACAGGAGTTTTGGTTTTTCAAGACAGGGTTTCTCTGTGTAGCTCTGGTTGTCCTGGAACTCACTTTGTAGACCGAAGTGGCCTTGAACCCAGAGATCCTTCTGCCTCTGCCTTCCAAGTGCTAGGTTTAAAGGCCTGTGCCCCCACTGCTTGGCTGAGGGAGGTTTAAAAAAGTTCACAGGCCTCATCGGGGAGAGGAGAATGGAAATCTAGATCTTTCCTAGTCTACCACATAGAAGTCTCCCTCAAACCCAACCTTGGTCTCCCTGAAGAAATTATTTATTTATTTATTTATTTATTTATTTATTTACTTACTTACTTACTTATTTTTGAGGCAGAGCCTAACCTGATCCTCCTGCTTCTGAGTGCTGGGATTACAAGGGTGTGCCAGGACACCTGGCTAAGAAGTTCATTCTCAGCATGATGTCTGTCCTGGCCCCTGGGAGGAGAGGAGCCAGCTAGAGGGAGATGTTCTGTAAGGATGAGTAGGGATCCTGGAATGATTGTCCCCTGATTGGGGAGGGTGTGTGTGTGTGTGTGTGTGTGTGTGTGTGTGTGTGTGTGTGTGTGTAGAGGACAGATAAAGGGAGGTTGGACTCAATCAGGACACACTTAATGCATGTGTGGAAACATCACACTGAACCCCACTAATATGTACAATGAGTGTCAAGAAGGCTGAGGTAGGTCAGTGCTAGCTTTCCTGGTGTACACGAGGCAGTGCCAGAAACAATGCCAATAAAAAACAAAACAGGAAAGATTAAAATTAAAATTATCTTTCCTCCCAAACGTCAAATGTGACCTCAGACATCCCTATCTAGGACCCTGTGCACACAGAGGAGGCTCCCAAGGAAATGAGGTGGCATGTGAGTGCAAAGGCCTGCCCTCTGCTGATGCTGTGCAGAACAAGCCCCGGAGACAAGACAGCAGGAAAGCTGCCCACCCTGGAATCAGAGTCGGCCTGGCCCTGAGAGGACAGCCCAGAGGGCTGAAAACACATTTCCTCCAACAGAGAGCCCAGTAAACCCTGTGTGTAGGCATCTACTGGGCAAGACTGGGTCTCTAAGGTGTGCTGGACCTGGCCAGGCACTCATCCGTTAGCAGAGGCAGGAGCCCTAACTCTTGGAGTCTTTCCCTGGCTGCTACCTCCCAGCCCTTGTTGGCCTGTGGGTTTCGAGGAGAGGGATGCAGGAGCCCCTCCACCTGCACCTCCGGGGCCAGCCCCGATAGAGCTCTTCGTGCCCGCTGCTCGGCCAGCCGCCCCACTCCCACTACCAGCCGCACCCCCAGCAGCTGCACCTGCCGGCAGAGGGATACATCGCAGATCGCCAGCAGCTGCTCCCGTGGCTTGGCTGGCAGCTCTGCTGGGGTCAGGTTTCTTCCGCTGGGAGCCAAGAAGAGCAGAGGACACAGATTGTGGACAAAGCAGTACCGGAAGAAAACCTGCGGCTGACCACAGAGGGACCGGAAAAGGCCCCAGAATCGGGCTCCGCTCACCTCGGACTGTGTGCATTCCAGTCCCAACACTGGTCGCTTAGGGTGCTCTTGGGGAGGGGTCCTCACAGAGCCCCCAACGCCCAACCAGTCCCGGACCACATTCACTTCCCCAAAAGGTACCTGTGGGGGAAGGAGAGAGACACAAGGGGATTCAGGCTGGAGTTCAAGGTGACGATCAGGCTGCCATGATCTCGCCCACCTTCACCCTCAAGTCTGCTGTGTTATGGACTCCTGGCCTTGTGGTTTGCCCCGGTCCATTTTCCCTCCAGTTTTCCCCACCATGAATTGTGACCAGAAACCGTGTGCCTCTACTTTCTCCAGGTGCTGAAACCAAATACAGGCAGAACACAGGGACATTCGGCCCTACAGAGGGCATGATTCTAATACTGGTGACAGACAGATCTCCCGAGACAGAAAGCTAGCCAGGGCGAAAGGAGGCAGGACAGGCTGACCACTGGGTACCCTCGCAGCCCCAGGCCTCAGGCTGTCATTTCCATCGATCATCATTGATCACCTTTCATCACTCAGCTGGGGTCAATAAAAGCGATTGAGCCTCCTGCCCTGAGGCTTCTTTACCTCCCCCACCTGCAATGTACTGAACAGCAGTCACTCATCCTGATCCCTAAGGGAAAGCAGGCCGACCTGTGCCTGACTCTGTTATGAACCTTTCAGAGACCCAGGGACTTGCCACCAGGATGCCTGGCAGCTCCTAAACCCCCATCCCGCCCCCAGCCAGTCTTCCTGGAGGATCCAGCAGTCCCAGCCCCTCTCCTGACTCCAACCACTCTAGGGAAAAAGGAGATCCGGCAAGGTAAGGTATAGGGCAGGATGGCGGAAGGGAGGGCTCTCAGAGGCAATTAGTGGAGAGCTCACAGGGGAAACGGAACTACCATTAATGTGCCTGGTTAACTATGAACAGAAAAGCATCAGGAGAGTGCTTGAGACCACAGGAGCCAGTGTATGTCCTGCAGGGGATGGGGTGGAGGACCCACCCACCTCCCAGCCAATTACATGTTCTTCCTCCACAGCACACCCAGGCAAACATCCACCTCAGAACCACCCACCAGAGGAAGCCAGGCCTTTACCCCAGTCTGGGCCATGCCAAAGGGTCCTGGGTTCATGCCCAGGAAAAGCACTTCCTTGGGACCTTGGCAGTATCGAGTCACGTAGTTATGGTGCGGCTCCCAAGCATAATCCACTGGATTATAGATGACACCCACAGGCTCTGGAAACTGCAGCTGGTGAAGTTCAGCGTTGAGCCGAAGCTCCTCCTCCAGGAAGCCCTCAGCCAAGCTTCGAGCGCAAGGCAGAGGTTCCATGGTTCCTGCAGGTTCATGGGTAGGCCCCGGCAGGAAAGTCTGGGACACAGCCATGCTGCTGTCACCTGGAAAAGAGGTGGACAGAGTTTCCTTCAACCTCAACCCAGTGTTAGAATCTGTACTTCCTAGGGGCTCTCACTATCATTTCCTGGCCTAGAAGAGACCCTAGGAAGCAACCCTGTCAGTTACTACAAGCTCAATCCAGTTCCTGTGATGAAGGGACCTTTGCTCCCCACTTCCAGAGTCCTCCCTCTTTGTGATACATCAAGCATCCTACATTAGTTACTCGTCTTGCTGCAACAATGTACCTCGTCTTGCTGCAACAATGTACCTCGTCTTGCTGCAACAATGTACCTGCAAAAGCAGCTGAAGGGAGGAAGGATTTATTTCAGCTCTCAGAGAGTACATTCATCAGGGTGGGTCATGGCTTCAGGAGCGTAACGTAGTTGATCACATTGCAGCCACAGTCAAAACTCAGAAAGCGATGAATACCTATATTCAACTAGATCTCTCTCTCCTGGGCCCTCCCTCCCCATCTCAGTTTTATGAGACAGGTTCTCACTATGTAACCTTGGATGGCCTGAAGCTCCATATGTTGACCAGGCTGGCCTTGAACTCGAGTTCCTCCCCTCTCTACCTGAGAATAAAGGTGTGTGTTGCCACACCTGGCTAGAGCTCCTTTTTATGCTGTGCAGGCTAGTTTTTATGTCAGCTTGTCATATTGGAAGATGGATCCTCAACTGGGAAAATGCCCCCACCAGACTGGCCTGTGGTGCATTTTCCTGACTGATGTGGGAGGGCTCAGCTCACAGTAGGTAGCGCCACCTCTGGGCTGTTGATCCCGGGAGCTGTAAGAAAGCAGACTGATGGGGTTGGTGAGGTAGCTCAGAGGTTAGGAGCATTGGCTGCTCTTCCAGAGGTCCTGAGTTCAATTCCCAGCAACCACATGGTGACTCACAACCATCTATAATGAGATCTGGTGCCCTCTTCTGGCGTGCAGGCAGAACACTGTATGCATAATAAATAAATCTTAAAAAAAAGAAAAAGAAAGCAAACTGAGCCAAGCATGGGAACAAGTCAGTAAACAACACTCCTCCATGGCTTCTGCTTCAGTTCCTGCCTCTAGGTTCCTGCATTGAGTTCCTGTTCTGACTTCCTTTGCTTGATGATGGACTGTGATATGAAACAGCAAGCTAAAACAAACCCTTTCCTCCCCTACTTGCTTTTGGTAATGATGTTTTATCCTAGCAACAGAAAGCCTAAGGCAGTCCAGGGCCCCCAGCCCATGGGATGGCACCACACTCTTGGAGTTTAGGTCTTCCCATCTCCGTTAACCCGATTTAGAAACTCCTTCACAGACATGCCCAGAGATTCACCTTCAAAGCAATTCCAGATCCTGTCAAGTTGGCAATCAGATATTAACCATAATAGTACCTCATCCCAAACCTCTCACCAGGTGAGGCCTGAGCCACTAGTTCTCGAGCCATGCTTTCTTCCTCATTTCTTCTCTTTCTCTTTTTTTTTTTTCCTTCTTCAGTGCTGAAGGGAAAAACCTGAATTCTTGACCATGCTAGGCAAGTACTCTATCACTAATCTACAATCCTAACCCCTTTTTCGTTTAGATGGTGGGTGCTATGTCTCAATAAGTTACTCAAGCTGGCCTTGAATTTACCCTGTAGCCTAGGTTGGCCCTGAACTTGTAATCCTGTTGTCTCAGCCTCTGAAATAAGTGAGATTCAGTCTACATCATAGCTACTTAATAGCTTTCTGTTCTCTCTTTTTGGGGAGTGGAGTACATTTCTTTTCTTAAATTTTTTTGTTGTTGTTGTTTTGTTCCAAGCATGGTAAATCCCAGCATTTCAGAAGTCAGTGGATCTCTGTGAGTTTGAGGCCAGCCTGGTGCTATGTAGGACTGTCTCAAAAAAAAAAAAAAAAATCACACGCCTTTAATTCCAGCACTCAGGAGGCAGAGGCAGGTGGATCTGTGAGTTCGAGGCCAGCCTGGTCTACAGAGCGAGATCCAGGACAGGCTCCAAAGCTACACAGAGAAACCCTGTCTTGAAAGAACAAAAGCAGCCAGGTCGGCGGCGGCGGCAGCGCACACCTTTAATCCCAGCACTGGGGAGGCACAGCCAGGTGGATCTCTGTGAGTTCAAGGCCAGCCTGGTCTACAAAGAGAGATCCATGAAGGCACCAAAACTACACAGAGAAACCCTGTCTCAAAAAACAAGAAAAAGAAAAAAGAAAAAACAAAACCAAAAACAAACAAACAAAAAAAGAAGTGGAGGCAGGAGGATCAGGAGTTTATGACCATCATCAGCTACATAGCAAGTTCGAGACCAGTCTAGGTTACATGTGACTATATCGAAATAAATAAGAGGCTAGAGACACAACCTAGTGGTTAAGAGGATGTACTGCTCTTGCAGAGAACCAGAGTTTAGTTTCCAGCACCCACCTAAGCTCACAGCTCCCTGTAACTCCAGCTCCAGGGGATCCAATGCCTTCTTCTGGCTTCCTTGACCACCACACACATGTGGCATACATTCATACACACACACACACACAAAATGAAGGTAAGTCGTTTTCTTTTTTGGAGGGTGGTGGTTGATCTTTTTTGAGACAGGGTTTCTCTGTGTAGCCCTGGCTTAAAGGCACGCACCACCACTGCCTGGCAAATGATTTTAAATTATATTTTTATATATTTGTGTCTCATGCATGTGTTTACGCATACACGTGCCATGAAACACCTGTGGACAACAACTCACAGAAGTCTGTTGTCACTGTCCACCATATGGGTCCCAGGGATTGAACTCAGGTCTTCGGACTTGGTGACAAGCACCTTCACCTACCCAGCTATTCCTCTGGCCCACCTCCACTTCTTAAGTGCTGGGATTAAAGCCTGCACCAGGCCACATTAACAGAACACATCTACTGACATCCTTTCTCTCCAATGTCATCCTTAATAAAACCAGTCCAGTCAGGATGAGCGTGTCCTGGAAATACTGTGCTGACGAATGAGATGCAGGTGCACAACCACAGCCCAGAGACTTGGGAGGGCTAATTACAGCAGCTTCCAGGTGGCAAGCAATTGCTCTCCGCCAGGTACACCTCATTGATCTTCATAACAACCCCATGAGGTGGGTATTATTGCTCCCATGTTACAAGCCAGGAGACTGAGGCTTAACGAGATCAAGCAAGTTGCCTAGGGTCATGCAGTTAGCAAGTAATGAAGTTGGGATTTGAACCCACAGTACCTGACTCAAAGCTATGCTCTTAACCACCCACGCCATCTTGCCTTAGATGGTTTGATCAGCCACCCTACTAATTCTACAAGCCCCTAACCCCAGCCCAGCTTCTTTCCCACAGTCGAGAATCCTCTGAGGTGGGAAAGGATGATTGCCAGACTCCGAACAGACTCTGACATGCAACCACGGCCAGAGCTGCGGGTTTTCACATCTGAATACTAAGGATAATAATACCCACTTCATAAAGCTGCCTATGAAAGGGAAGAGCAGAGGAACTCAGCAGCAAGCCTTCTAACTGAAACAGCTGTTCTCACACTCCTACACACACCCAGTGCACGTCCCTGGCCATTTCACTCACTTTCAAAGTGCTTCTCCCACCCCAACTCCCAAAACTTTGCACAGGTCATTTTTACAAACCCAACCAAATATGACTGAGGTAACCAGAACATCAACCAGCAGTCAACCAAGAAGGCGACCCAACAGATCCAGTTCATACTCATCCTTCACGATGCAGCTCAAACCATCTCCTTGGTGAAGCTTTGCTTCTTCAATATACTGGAACCTCTGAACTGTGGACCAAAATCTATCTTTCCTCTCTCATCCTGTTTTTCTCAGGTATCTACCACAGCAATGAACTTCCTGGCATATCACACACAAGGAAGTTGGCTGTGAAGCCAAGATATATCTATATATCTTGAACAAAGCGATTCAGATGCCCTGGTGAAGGCTAAGAGCCACTGAGTACTGACTGGCTTCTTCATGAATTCACCCTTTGCCTCCCCAGACAGAAGTAAGGGAGACCAGCAGTCAGGCTCTATTCAATTCCCTGCCACACCTACAGGGTCCTAGATCTTAGGTACTAGATCTCAGGTACTCAACAGCCCCTACCCAACTCTATCCACTTCCACATTATCAGTCTTGTTTAAAGTTACCTTCCAATGAAGCACTTTTGTTTCTCCCGTGCTAGGGGTGGAACCCTGGGACTAGGCAAGCACTTCATCACTGAGCTACCCCTGATTCCTGATGAGCCACTCCGGATGGGCTCCTTATCACCCGACAAACCAGTGTGGGAGAATGAGCCCAGGCCTGTGCACAGGCTAGGCAGGTACTCTACACTAAGCTACATCATGAGCCTCTTCTTCTTCTTCTTCTTCTTCTTCTTCTTCTTCTTCTTCTTCTTCTTCTTCTTCTTCTCCTCCTCCTCTTCCTCCTCCTCCTCCTCCTCCTCCTTCTCCTCCTCCTCCCTTCTTCCTCCCTTTATTTTTTGTTTGTTTTTTGAGACAGGCCACCAGCTGGAGACCAAACCTTCAATATTCCATAACCCTAGCTTGTAGGGTGGGGCTGGGCTCTCAGGAATGTTTCAGTGTACTGAAGAAGCAAAGCTTCACCAAAGAGATGGTTTGAGCTGCATCGTGAAGGATGAGTATGAACTGTGTAACAGCCCTGGCTGGCCTGGATCTCGCTCTTGTGGACCTGGCTGGCCTGGAACTCACAGAGATCTGCCTGCCTCTGCCTCCTGAGTGCTGGGATTAAAGATGTGTGCCACTTTTGTTTTTGTCTTATATGTTTTGAGATAAAGTCTCACTATATGGCCTTGGCGGTCCTGAAACTCAAGATGTAGCCCAGACTAACCTCAAACTGTGACAGTCTTCCTGCCTCCGTTTCCTGAGTGCTAGGATTGCCTGCATGTGTCAGGCCTGAAATCTTTAACCAATTTGCCCAGGACATTCTGGAAAGCTGAGAACGGTGTGGTGAACTGGGTTTTCTGGGACCTTGCTTTGTACTTCCTCATGCAGTATCAATATTAGAAAAAGCAGCACCAGTGATTGCTCTCAGGTGTGGAAGACAACAAGGATGGACATACACAAAGGTAACAAGACCTTATTTCCGCTGTTCAATTTTCAAAGCCCCGTCTGATACCACAAGCTAAAACTCAGCTAACTTGAAAAAGCCCTGGCTTTTTCTCCTTTTTGTTTTTTTCTTTTTTGGTTTTCTCGAGACAGGGTTTCTCTGTGTAGTTTTGGTGCCTGTCCTGGATCTTGTTCTATAGACCAGGTTGGCCTTGAACTCACAGAGATCTGCCTGGCTCTGCCTCCCAAGTGCTGGGATTAAAGGTGCCACCACCACTGTCTCTTAAAAGGTTCTCTCCCTTAAATTGGGGAGATGAGGCACGCCACAGCACCCATGTGGTCAGAGACAATTTGGAGAACTGGTTCTTCTTCTACGGTCAAGGCTCTGAGGACCAAACTTGGGTCATCAGGTTTGGTGGCAAGGGCCCTACCAGCTGACACATCTAAGAAGATTCTCTTGCACAAGTCTCTCTATAGAAGCCACATATTCCATCAACCTACCACCAGCTGTTAACTTGTTTACGGGCCAGTCTCTTGCTGGGGGAATGACTCCAAAATGAATAAAATGTAAGGCAAGCTCTGGGTAAGCCATGAGCTAAGAGGACAAACAAGCTGTATTACAGTATAATCTGAGCTTTACTGTCCCAGACAGACCTTAACAGAGCACTGAGAGGAAGCCTAGCAGCCCTACCCAAAGTCACCAACAGTCATACGCTTAATGGGCTGATGCTGCAAGTCAGTGGAACCCTTACCTAGGGTATACGAAGCCTTGGGGTTCAATCCCTCAGAATAAACCAGGTGTGGAGCCACATGCCTATAGGGCGACTCAGGAGGTGGAGGCAAAAAGATCGGATCAAGAGCATTCCCCGAATAGCAAAGGTGAGGACAATCTGACCTACATGCGATTTTTTTCTCAAAAAGCCAAAACCCAGATGCTTAAGAAATGTGTCACACATTTCAAATTACATTTAAAAGCAACGGGCGACCCTTGTATACATGTGATCAAGGCTAGACTTCATACTCATATCCGATCTATCTGAAATTAACTCCAAGAAGTGTAATAGAATCCAAGCCACACTGGGCTAGAAAGATGGCTAAGCAGGTAAGAGCACTGGCTGCTCTTCCAAAGGTCTTGAGTTCAATTCCCAGCACCCACAAAGCGGCTCACAACAGTCTAACCGAGTCCTATACGATCCAATGCCCTCTTCTGGTGTGCAGACGTACATGCAAACAAAACATCCATTATGTATAAAATACAGAAAATAAAAACAAGAATCCAAGCCACTAGCTGCCCATGCCTCTTGTAAACTCTCCAGGTATCCACAGGATTTAAACCAAAATTAGCAGCGCAGCAGGACTAATAGGGGCCCCTTAGGCCTCCGCGTCGTGGCGCGGCCACTCTTCCCGAGCCCCTACAGCCCCCTCCGCCCTGCACTGAGATCCAGCCCCCCTACTGCCTCACCTGCAGCAGCTCCCCCAGCAGCTTCCGCTTCCTTTCTCCGTCCTGGCGCAAAGGACACTGGAAGTCGTAGTCAACAGCGTTTAAATTAGAAGAATAGCTAGCAGCGTCCGCTTCCGCCGGAAATGCCTAAATCCCCGGAAAGCTCGATAAATGAGCTCCACGGGTCGCTGGGGATTGTAGTTTAATAATATGATTCAAATCAAGCTGTCTTGGAAGTTAGAGGCCAATTCATTCACAACAATCTGGACTCTCCAGCCATCCTTAATCCCTCACCCACCAGAGACCCTACCAGCCCCCGCTGGTGCCTCAAGTTAAGAGACCTCACCTTTGCAGCCCTCCATGGGCCATTACTGTGTGCATAACATCCAAGGAGGCATCTCTCTCATCCCCAACTCTTTGACAATGAACATTTCCATTACCATTAGCGTGCAAATCCACAGCGTCACCATTTTGACCTGGCTCCCTTGGCATCTGCCAGCCTGTATCCCAGATTGGAGCTCACCAGAGAAGTAGAACCAAAATCATTCTATCTGTGTGAGGAGATATAGTGTGGAAATGTGCTCACAGTCATATGGAACCTGCGGTCTGTAAGCTGGAGAACCAGGAAAGCCCTCTGTAGTTCATTCTGAGCCTGAGCTGGTTCTACAGAGAAGCAGACCAGTCTCTATGACGTCTGAAGGCAGAAGATGGAAGCCCCAGGTTGCAAAGAGGCAGAATTGGAAGCTAGTATGACTGCTGTGGTGGCACATACCTGTAATCCAACCACTTGGGTGGCTGAAGCAGAAGGACCATCAGCTGAAGGGTAGCCTGGGCTACACAGTGAGACCCTGGAGAGAGAGCCTTCTATGTGCTCCCAAAGTGCAGCCACCCAGGGCCACTCCTGCGCAAGGTCTCTTCCCCCATCCCCAACCCACCTGGCCAGCCCGGAGCAGGGAAGGGGGCGGGGCCACCGCGAGCACCTGGTCCAACACCAGGTTGCACTGCTGCTTCTGTGGGGGAAGGGCCACCCACTCCACCTGAGCGTCCTCCCACTGCCTGGCCCTCGGCAGAGTTTCCCACCTCTCCTCACTCCACCAGTTTCCAGTATGAGAGAGGCAGAAGTTCAAAGTCATCCTCTGCTACATATCATGTCTGAGGCTAGCCTGAGCTAAATGAAATCTTGTCCAAAAAGGAAGAGAAAAGGGGTTGATGGAAGGAATTCATCACAGGCCCTACCATCCTTTCAGATACCCCTCTCCCCACAACTGTTTGGCTTGCCCAGCTGTCCCTGTTGGGTTTTTGTTCCTGTTTTGGGGAAGGGTGGTGGTGTTGTTTTGAAACAGGATCTCATCTTGGTTGTCTTGGAATTCACTACGTAGACCAGAATGGTCTTGTCTGTAGACCAAATCTGCCTGTCTCTCAAGTGCTGGGATTAAAGGCCCATTGTCGTCCCCCCACCCCCACCCCCACCCCCAGTCCATTCGTTGGTCTTATAGTCCCTCAGAACCCCAAGTTGGCCTCGGGCAGAACAACAAGGAGTAAAGTGAAACAGAGATCCTACAAAATGCCCCTCACCTTCCTGGTGTGGTGGCTCTTGCCTTTAATGCCAGCATCTGGGGGTTCGGGGAGCATCGCTGTGAGTTCCAGGCCAGCCTGGAGTACATAGTGAGACCCTCTCTCAAACTTATCACCTAATGTTAACTTCTGTGAACCTCTGTCCCTATGAGTCCTTGGCTCCTGGAAGCTCAGAGCGAGTCCCTGGGGAAAGAGAAACTGAGGTTCAGGCAGCCACTGCTAACTGCTGACGCTGACCCTGAATGGAGCCTCTCCTGCTCCTAATCCAGCCATCCCCCAACCCCTCCTCTCTTTCAGAAACTGTGGGCTTGGAGCTCTGCTGGAGTAAAGACATTTAGAAATGAGATCCCGAGATGAAAGGTGGGCATAGCCCTTCCCTGGTTTCCTTGCCCTCCAGAAGCCTTCAAGGGACAGGCTAACAGCGCTTGATGGCCTGTGAGGCAGGGGCGACAGCAGATCCTGGATGTGGCCAAGGAAGAGCTAACAGGTGCGTCCTGGGCTGTGGAGCGGCCTCTGAGGCCCAGCAGCAGCTACTCGGCCTGCCTGGGTTCGGAAGGGTTAACTTGCATTCTTGTTTCCTTTGGGTTTCGCCAAGCTGCAAGGGCTGCGTTGGGCCACGAGCGCCATCTATCGGCCGCTGGGGAGCTAGCTTTGCCTCGCGTGGACTTCTAGGCCAAGCATCCCTTCCCCTGCCAAGGGCCTCCGGCTGCACAAAGCTAAGATTGCCTATCTGATCAATACAGGCTTCGTTTTCGCCTCACTGGGCACCAGGTGTCACCTGGCCACTTCCCTGGGGAACTCCAAAGGACTTTCTGGAGCTTCTGTCCACGCTTTGACCCCTCTCTCCCAGCCAGGTCATGCATGAACGAACATTAGCATAAAAGCTGATAGTCCGGGAGCCAGGGCTAGATCTGCGGCCACTCTCTCTCCGCTTACTAATGGGACCCCAGACAGGTTACTTCACATCTCTGTGCCTCGGTTATCCCAGCTGTAAAATGGGACAATCCTTGAAATCTATCTCTTTCGTGATAAATTAACTGGCAAGGTGTTTTATTAAGGCCTGGCCCAGAGGGGCTCCATGAAGGTTAGTCGTTGTTGCTATGGCTACAGGCAGGCCTGCAGGCAGATGCTGGGGCTGAGCACACAACCTCCTGGACAGACACAAAGGCACCATACTAACCAGCTCATCCCTGGAGAGTTCGTCAGAGACCACAGCCTGCCTGGTTAGGTTTGGGACTGGGAGTTTGGGGCTGCAAAGTACCTTTCAGTGTCCAA